AATTCATATGCTAAAATTCTAATGCCAAATGTGATGATATCAGAAAGTAAGGGCCTTTGTGAGGGGATTAGGTCATGAAAGCAAAGCACTTATGAATAAGATCAATGCCCTTAAAAAAAGAGTTTCCGCCTGCCTGGCATGGTTCAGTGGTTGAGTGTCGACTTATGAACCTGGAGGTCACAGTTCAATTCCTGGTCAGGGCACATGCCCAGGTTGTGGGCTCCATCCCCAGTGTGCATCCCCAATCAATGCTCTCATATCAGTGATGTTTCCATCTCTCTCTCCCTCTCCCTTCCTCTCTCTGAAATCAATAATATATATATTTTAAAGACAGAGTTTTCTTAACCCTTCCATCATGTGAGGATACAGCAAGAAGCCATCAGTCTGCAACTGAGGCCCTTCATCAGAATTCAAGCATGCTAGCACCCTGATCTTGGGCTCCCAGCCTCCAGAATTATGAGAAATACCTTTTGGTTGTTTATAAGCCACCCAGTCGGTGGTATTTTGTTATAGCAGATCAAGTGAACTAAAATAGGCAATAAAGACCTATGCTAGACTATCCTATATAATAAAGAGGTAATATGCAAATTAACCCTCACACCCTCACAAAGATGGCTGCCTAGGAGGTGGAGCTTTTGACACTGGAATAGAAACCAACCAATCAGAACCAAATCTGGGTGAACTGCAAAGGCAGAACCTAAGGTGGGGGCTGAGGAGGGGTTTTAAGGGCAACAGCTGTTTGGTGTAAGGTGTAAGAAAGTGGTCCAATTTTTTAATGGCCGGTTTGACAGTATAGTGCATATGGCTAGCAATCAGTCTAGATATAGGGGTTATGTATTTTTGTCTGCCAAGAGCATCTCCTCCTGTTGAAAAAGGCTTCTTCCCACCCCCTTCCCCCCATTTAAGCAATCCTATCCTGTATAATCTATCTATATCAACAAAAGGGTAATATGCTAATTAGACTGGGTCAACCAGCCATCTTCTGGACAAAGCCGTGGTGGTGGTGGGGGCCGCACTGGCAGTTGGACATCCCCCAAAGGGTCCCCGATTGGAGAGGGTGCAGGCTGGGCTGAGGGAACCCCCCTCCATGCATGAATTCTGTGCACTGGGCCACTAGTTTCTAATAAATCACATTTGCAAAAAAAAAAAAATACATGTGTCAAGGCAAAAAATTACCAGAGAACCAAGATGAAGAAAAATGCACCTAACAAAATAAAAACATAATGCTAAAAAATAAACAACTGCTGCCATCTTTTTCATAGTAGAGAACAATAACTTCATAACTAGTCTGTAGTAAAGAAACTTTCAATAAAGCAAAAACTTAGGTAAACGAGACAGTCAACTGGCAGTCAAAGGGATAGGAAAGAATCAACACAGTAAGATGCTTCTAGGCAAAATGGCCCTTATAATCAAACTGGTCCAAAGTTAAATATTAGGCAGTCAAGATAAGGTAATCAACGAGGTTAGATGTCCCATAATCTTCTCAAGAATAAAATCATTTGGCTCAGAGTTTTATTTTGTTTTTAATGTTTCTCTGGTCACTTGACAAGCAACCAAGAGGACGTGTGAGACTGAAGGGGCAGAGCTATCACTTTGTATTTCCCCATCCCGTCAAATCTACAACCTTCAACGACAGGTAACAAATGAAGATCCTGGGGGGTTTGGTGAAGTAGGCTTTGATTCTGGATAAGAAGGAAAGGGTTAGAGTCTAAGCCAAAAAGAAGAACTATTTTCACACTCTTAAACTTAACTCAAGTAAACTAGCTCCATAACTAATTTTTAACCAGCACTTTTGATTTAAAGCAGGATCAGCATACTGGGTCAAATCCATTAGGCTTTTGTAAATAGTTTTCCTAGAACACACACACACTCATTTATTTACGTAATGCCTATGGCTGCTTTCATACTACAATGGCAGAGTTGTGTAACTGCAACAAAAAAAACCACATGGCCTACAAAACAAAACAAAATATTTGATCACCCTTTAGAAAAAAATTTTGCTGAGCACTAATTTAGAAGAAAAGAACACCTAGCTATTGCTTTTTTTGAAAGGCATTCAGAAGAATAGAGTGCTTATAAGTTTAGTTCATCGATCAAAGGACACCATATCTAACATCCTCTCCTCTAATTTCTGAAAGATGCATTTTGCCTTCTTGATGCAGGGATCATTTGTGTGGGGTCTATGACTTGGCAGCTCAAGACCCTAAACTAATCACTACCAATTCCTACTTAACAAGTTTTTCATATTTAATGTCAAACTTGAGATCACAACCACCATGAAGACTCATAATGGTTCTACTTCCTTGTTTGTTCATGTAGTAAATAGCCCCAGATGATCTGACAGGGTATAAACATTTTTTTTATTTAGGATATAAACATTTTGCTGCACCAGAATCATTTAGGGAGAATGTCTTCTAATTATAGGATGATATAAGAATTTATCCTGTGTCAACCAAATACCCTGAAATGTAAATGTAACTAAAATGCATACCTCCCAAACTAGATATCCGTTCTGCCAATGGCTGGTGAAAGAGATCACACCTGAGATAGATTTGTACGAGGTGTTATCTGTCTAAATTGTTCCTAAAGAGAAAACAATGGGAATAAACAAGGGGAAACATTAAAAAATGCCATGAAAAATAGAATGCTGTGTCAGTGATCTGCTCTGGCCAGATGAGACAAGGCCTGCATGGAATCTGCATTGAGAAGGAATTCAATAAATTCTAATGCTCATTAGAATTAGAATTCTTAACCTCAATTTTCATGTCAATGAAAAATTTCTTTCTTATACAAAGGGGGAGATGAGGGAGTCAGATAGCCAGACAGAAACAAACACTGAGCCAGGAAGATGAACTTTCTAAAATCCTCCATATCAAGGAAAAGATGCTAAGAATCACTATAAACTCTAACAGAAAGGAAGAAAGATTCATTCATTTTTCAACAAGTATTTATTCAGCATCTATATACCAGGCACTGAGGTTAGAGGTACTAAACAAAACAAAATTAGTTGTCCTCACGGAACTTACACTGACCCCCAGTGGGGGTCAGGAATAAAATACATTGCATTTTATACAGTGCTAAGTGCTCAGAAGAAAAATAGTGAGTGACAGGGAATGTTGAGAGGGGTGTCCAACAAAGGCTACTTGATGAGGCAACATCTGAGTGCTTCTGGACTAGTGTGCTTCACAGTACACTTGATGGACTAGAATAGAGGTTTAACCAAGAAACAAATTGTTTATACTCATGGAATATCCATGTGTGTCGTGGGCTTGCCGTTGTGATTGCCACATTGTTCTTTAGAGACAGTAACATAAGCCATTTTCTATAAGAGCAAAAAGTTCAAGAAAAGAAAGGAGTGTACATTTTCCCATTTAGATAAAAGCACACATTCAAAAAAATCGCTCCTTAAACTAGTCCCAAAACAACAAAGGACTAAAAAGGTTTTAATTCACAGGACAAAAAATAAAAGACAAAAGGACAGACAAGAGATGTCAATGAACAGGCAGATAAAACAAAAACAACTGAGGAGCTTACACAGGACAGAATTTTTATGTGGGAATACCATCTTAAGAAAGTACATGGCAGGATACAAGGATAGACGAAACTATAGCAAAGCAACACTGACAAGAATCCCAAGCTAGATCAAAATGCTTCGGGGGGAAATGTAGAGCCTACCCTGGAAAGAATAAAAAGGAAACTACAGGATTTTTTAAAATGGGTCACTGCCACACAGGTAAGCAAGTCTTACCTATGGGGTGGCTAGCCCTGCTGTTAAATTGACATCAGGAAGAAGTAGCAAAGAGAGTCAATTAGCTGCCAGAACTAGACTTACTTCAAAGAAAGGGGTAAATTTAAACCAGAAGCTCCTTACCTTCCATACCTGTTGATCACCAAAAGCCAAAGCTGGGTCCCTACACACAGCATTAGAGGAAGGGGATAAAGATTGGGATACTTCCTCTCTCTTAGTCATACATAAATTTCAAAAACAAAGAAAGAACTGAGAAATTGAGAATAAACACCCCCTAAAATATAACCGGTGAAGCAGGGAATATAACTTCTCTGAGAGGTCTCAAAATCTAAGACATCTAAGTGTTGCAAAATCTTCCCTAAAACAGTGTAACACTTAAAACATAATGGCAAAAATTCTTTCCATTCTTGAAAAATCAGTATTACCCTATTTTTCTACCATTCATTGCTCTTTCTATAGAAGCCAACTATTTCCTCCAAATGTTCAATGCAAATTTAAAAAGTAAATTCTATTTAAAAGATAGGGAGAATAACACTTTCCTATCTGTTACACTTTTACAGCATCTGCTACACTTACTTTAATAGACTGTTGTAAATATAAAATAAGGTGCATATCAATGTCCCTGGTAAAGATATTTTTAAATCAAGTTCAAAAGAACTAAACATTTTCAAGTTTTAGGAGTTCACACCAAAGATTTTATTGTAGTTTCACATTAGCTTACTTATTATCTGCCCCCTTTAAGATTATTAAAAAATACTTACAATTAAAAATAGAAATACTAGAGAGAGCAGAAACTAATACAAACACCACAGGTAACAGTGACAAAAAAGATTTCTCATAAATATCATCCCAAATTTAATTATTACTGATAAAAATCTTAAAGTACAAGCTGGACACTTCTTTCATTTCTTAATTTAAAAAGGCCTATAGAGAATACACTCATTTCTTCTTTATGGATATTCTGCACAGCTAAAAAAAAACTATCTTGCCCTGGCCGTGTTGCTCAGTAGTTAGAGCATTGGCCCACACACTGAAGGGTCTCGAGTTGAATTTCTGGTCAAGGGTACATACCTCGGTTGCAGGTTCAAACCCCAGCCCCAGTATGGGGCGGGAGGCAACCAGTCGATGTCTCTCACATCGATGTTTCTCCCCTCACCCTGCCCCCACACACACACACACACTGTGGGTGAGGATTAACAAAAATAAAAACCTTATGTTTATAACACATACTATATATAGATATATGTCTTACCTATTAAAGATTTGATATTTTCTAAGATTAAATCACTAGTAATATTTCCCAATAAATCTTGCCCCAATTTAGCAATCAGTTTAGCATAGCCTTCATTCTCTTCTCTTAACAAATTGAATTTTTGCTGCTTATAACTGAAATTACATAAACATCATAAAGGAGATAAAATTAATTTCAATTAACAAGCTTGAATAAAGTAATGTACTGTTACTGAATTTTCTTATCTCTAATATATATATACTTTTAGGATAGAAAATTACTGTTGTTCATAAGACACACCCCAATGTTAATTACACAGGTGAAACCAGTAACACAAGGAAAAGATATGGCTAATCCCAAGGAACAATAACAACACTATTTCCATCACTGACTAAGAATATACCTAGATTATAGACATAGCTATATTTTATTGGTAATAATGAAAGCACTGAACATTATTTTAAATATTAACATTGGTTTCACATGATAATGTTCACTGCTGACTCATTGGCTACTTTTAAAAGAAACAAGGACACATGTAATACCTTAATCAATAAAGAAAATTTTTAATAAAGAAAGAAACACAAGACACATGCTAACAGCAACAAAATAAAATCTTCAAACTGCCTTTAGAAAGTTGGTGACAGAAGATGATTTGACTTTGGGTGGAGGGCACACAATACAATATACAGATCATGTACCATAGAAATATACACTTGAGGCAGTGCTTCTAGAGCAGTGATTCTCAACCTTCTGGCCCTTTAAATACAGTTCCTCATGTTGTGACCCCCAACCATAAAATTATTTTCGTTGCTACTTCATAACTGTAATTCTGCTACTGTTGTGAATCATAATGTAAATATCGGATATGCAGGATGGTCTTAGGCGACCCCTGTGAAAGGGTCGTTCAACCTCCAAAGGGGTCGCGACCCACAGGTTGAGGACCACTGTTCTAGAGCCTGCCCACCCCAACTTCTTGGTGCCCGAGGGTGTATTATTTCCCTTTAATTCACAATAAAATCTTAACTTCACGTTTAAACTTTTAAAAAAAGAGATATATACTTGAAACTTATATGATCCTATTAACTAATGTCACTCTATAAATTTAAAAAAGAAACTTCTAGTATTCAAAATGAGAACTAAAACACATACGCGGGTACTTGATGTACAACATAAAAATGCATGTACTTACAAGAGTTTTGTCTTGATTTTAACTGACTTTTGATTGAATTGCTGTGATTGTTTGATAAGCCCTAATGATTCCAATGTTTCTGGATCCAAGCGTTCCTTTAGAACTGTGTCTGAAACTAAATACTGTATTTGAAAATATTAAAGGACATTTATTATTCAGCATTCCAACTGTGCATTCACAATCTTAAATACACTCAAAATAATTAATGAAAATATCACATTAGATATCAGCTTATAATTTATAACAAAATTAAAAACTTCAACAAAAATGATGACTCTCCAAATATTGAAAAATACAACATAGCTTTTTTAATAAACTTGCTAAGAAAGTCTATGCATGGTATTTACAGCCTATTGAGTCTGTCAACTGCATTTTCTTTAAGACAATACAGCACTTAAGCCTTCTTTGATTTCTACGGTTTAGGTCAAATAATTCTAATACAGAAAAAACAAAGACATTCTTCTAGGTCTGAGTAATGGCATTTCTCCCTGGTTCTAAATTAATGAACATAAAATCGTTTCATAGACAATGATTATAACAAGTTCTAGAATCTATTGTTTTTAAATTACCTCCATACTTTTTCTCCTTGCCTAATAAAGAGTTTATGAAAAATTGATTGTTTAAAAGATGTCCACATCATTTCTTCTCACTTGCTAGATGCTTACCTTTTTACTCAGTTAGAGACCTACTAGGTCAGGAATGGAAATGACATGGTAGCATGTCTAATTTTACAAAGCATTCCATTTCAAAACCCAAATCATACCTTATAATCAACTGAATGTCAATATCCTTCTCCATTAACATGATTAACTGTGATTATATTATAATTGTTCAATGTAAAATTTAGAAAGGGAATGTATTTTTTAAAAACTTACCAAACACGCTAATACCAATTGTGTAAAATAGTCTCTCTTGCTTTTTTCTTCTAAACAATTTGTCTCAATATCTACAATGACGAGGAGAAAAAAAGATGAAAATTTAACTGATTTTTCTAGACTCTCTCCAGAACTATAATAATATACTTATTTTCTTTAAAACTAGCTTATTTTAAAATATTTCATTCTGAATTTAGAAAAAAATTTTTTTAACTATGTTAAAAGTATGAGATGCCCTTCATATGCATATGAATGCTTAGCATTAATTTCTCCTGATTCTGGAGACTGATCCTGGGATCAATGGCATATTCATAAAATGAGCTATGTTCTATGGCACTGGAAGAAACAGTTTCAAAAAAATACTGTTTTCCCATGGACACGGGCAATAGGGTAGTGAAGGCCTGGGAGGTGGGGAGGGACTGGGAGGTGGGGTGTGAAGGGAGGGAAATGGGAGATACCTGTAATTCTATCAACAATAAAAATATATTTAAAAAATACTGTTTTCCCATGGACACGGGCAATAGGGTAGTGAAGGCCTGGGAGGTGGGGAGGGACTGGGAGGTGGGGTGTGAAGGGAGGGAAATGGGAGATACCTGTAATTCTATCAACAATAAAAATATATTTAAAAAATACTGTTTTCAGAAATGGAAATATTAACTTTTTAAATAATATATTTTATTTAACATAAAAGATCCAAAATGTTTAAGCCAAGTTTAAATGACCACATTAGAGACGCTAAAGAAAAGATTCCTTCATTGGGTGAAAACTGAACTGGGTGACAACAAAGATTTCTTCTTATACGAAAGAACCTATTACTCATGAAGATCAAATCTTTAACCTTGGCTACCTTGGTAGCATGTACCATGTTCTAACCAAGCTACCTTGCCACCAACTCTATAAAAAGAGAGTACTAAAATATATTTTTAACATCTTATTTTGAATTACAAGTCTATTTAGCAAACAAAAATTTATTCAAGATTTTGTTTTCTTCCTACTGAAATATTTATAAAAACTGTGATCTCCATGAGTTTCAGTAAATTATTCAGAAAATTTCTTTCAAACAACTTTCTGGTCTGAAGTATAGAGGAAATAAAATAATTAGCTCTAAATGCCAAGCATCAAAAATTTCAACCAGGATTGGCAAGATTACAAGGCTGATCTCAGGATTGTTGCTTTCACTAACTGCATACTATTCTCCTATTTTTAAAGTCAACTCATAATTTAGAATGTGCTATAGAGTCACAAATTTTAGTAATGTAATAAGAAGTGTCCTATTAGGGTTCTAGGGTCTTCCCAAACAGATGTCCTACCACTGCTTGCTTTAGTTTACTTTCTATTGCTATCACTAAGAATGAAGAGAGAAGAGGATATATCATCAAAGATATCTACATTTTCCTGGCCCTTCTCCATTTTCCCTTCCTGGACAAGTGTCATTTCCCAATATTTTGGCCACTTTAGATAAGCACACAGTCAACTCAAGTGTATTAAAGGAATTTCAGGTGTAATTTATGCAATGTAAACTGCAGTACAATCTCAACCTCTCAATAAGACTTTTAATCCATGGGTATCTCGCTCATCTCCCCCCCCCCTTCCAGGAGCTCCTAGTTGTCTCCCTGTTATCTGGTCTTATGGTCTCTCCTCAGCCTATAACTTCAAGGATACTGATTGTGCGAGGTCAGGACTAAACTGGGCCTATTATTTTAACCAACATGTATGTACCTACCATCCAAGGCCCTTAAGTCCCTAAGATCTACTCCCAAGGTTCCTAAGATAGAGCACCTGGGTAGCAGGTTCTTCTTCAGATGAATTCTGCTCTCCCTCCTCTTAGCCATCTGACCTGATTAAGATACCACTCTGTGTTCTAACCATGTTAGGAAATACTTAATAGGACATCAGTAAATTTCTTAGCTGATCTCTCGTGTCTGTCTCTCTGTCTCTCTGTCTCTCTCTCTCTCTCTCTCTCCCCCTCTCCCTCCCTCCCTCCCTCCCTCCCTCTTGTGCTATCACTTTAATCTCCCCTATGGTTTTACTAAAAAGCCCTCAGCCTTTTCCAACTCTAGGTCCCAATATTACCAACCACTGACCCAAGGTCAGCACGTCAAGTTACATCAGACACCCCCCCCCCCTTTTCAGGTTAATAGAGGTCTCAGATCCCCTCACCCTTACATGATTGTTGTTTTTTAAAAAAAATAAAATTGATATCTTAACCAGGAAAGTTATCTGGTCTTATGGTCCGCCTTCATTTGCACTCATTTGTGGTATAACTGTTAAAATATTAGAAAGACAACATGATGTAGTAAAAAGATCATGGGCTCTAGAACTAAAAAGATCCAGGTCCAAACCCTGCCTTACAGGCTGCATGGCCTTAAAAAAAAGTAAAATCATTTCTCTGAGCTTCAATTTTGTGACCTCTACAACTACCATACACAAGTTGCTGTGAGGATTAAGATGAAATTAAATGTTTAACACAATGACTAGAACATAGGTTTTCCAAAAAAATGGCACCTACATTATTACTATTTTCATCACCATCATCATCATCATCGTCGTCATTTTTAGTATTAGAGAAGCTCATGTTCTTACTCCTATTGCACTACCTTGATCTGGGGTCACCCTTGGATCATTTTTTTCTGCCAAGGGTGGGGGTATGTGAGTGAGGGGGCAGATGAGGGAAATTCTCTTTCCAAGTTTGCTGTCCTAAATATTGCTTGTAATAATGGGCTGGATAGGCTAAAAGAAATTTCCCAAGAGCAACCAAACATCATCATCGTGAATTCACGTTACTAGTAAGAAGCAATGACTTGTAAGAATAATTCATATTACTAAATACCTATGAAGAGAAATATATCCCAATAAAATAAATCAAAAAAATTATTTGGACTTACTAAGCTGATAATGGATGAATACTCAGAGATAGACATAAAATATACTCCTGACACTATCAAAAAATAAGTTTCCATGAAATGTTATCTATAATCGTTTTCAGTCTTACAAATTTACAGTAAAAGCAATTTTTAAATTGAAATTTGTTTGTAACAAAGTAATGTTTGTAACATATAGTCATATCCATAGTGCCTGTTTTGAAAATGAAGTTTAAAAGGTTTTTTGTTGTTGGTATAAACCAGGAAAGTTTTAAGATTGAAAAAAGACACTACTCATAATTATGCCAGGGAAAACAAAACAAGACTGGGACATATGGTCACCCTATCAATGGTCTGCGCTTTTCATTTCTCACAGAGTCCATACATTTTCACCGGTTTCTGCATAACTGCTGTTATGAAATCTTAAACATCCAAAAGGATCAAGCACCAGGCATTTACATTTGTTAAGATCAAATTCCAGGCTCTCAGTAAGACATTTAACTAACCTATCTAATTCCAGGAATTAATGAGCTAAAATAATTCATTCCAGTTTGACAAACTCTTTTAAATCTTTTTGTTGTTCTCCCCACTGTTACCATAGTGGAGGACATTTTCCAAGGAGGTAGCCTTAAGAGAGCAACATCTTGTTGAGACTAACAGTTGAGACACACAGTAAACGTGACTGAACCCCATTAGGGCCTCTACATAAACTTGAGGATTCTGGCAGGCAGGTATGGAGACCTACTAGTCTTGCAGCCCTAGGAGACAAGCTTTGTAGGTAAGTTCCCTTATTAAACCTGCCACCTACTAATCTTGAGCAGTCGGCCTCTTCAATATCTCCTTGCCCTCTGTTTAAGGGGCCAATTTGCCAATTCACATGCATCTGTGTCTAAACTATATGCAGTCTTCTCTGGATTTACCCCTTTTCTCTTTTATGTAAATGGAATTATGCTTTTTTTAATATTCTGTAAGTTGCTTATTTTGGTCAATATTATTATTTTATATTTATTCATATGGATGCATGTAGCTAAAGAGCATTCATATTTACTGTTGTCTTGTACAGGTTACAGCCCCTCATTATATATTCTTCAGATTTCATAAGGTTAAGTCTTATTTTAAACTGAGTATTATAATATCTAGCAATGTTTGCTATTGGATCAAAGTTACAGAAAGCCTAAGACTGATGGGGAAAACTGCTGTTATTTTAATTCAGATCTAAAATTAGAGAAATGAATTTGTAATACACGTTATTTTTTAAATCCATACTTCCCATGAAGAGATACTACTTTTTGTAAAGGAAATAATCCTTATTGGCGAGCACACCTGTGCCCTGTGCCTTTCCCATTCCCTTCTTCTTGCTTCCAGGTACGTTCTCTTAGCCTTTCCCTCTTCTAAGCTCCAAGCAGTCTTTTGCTTCTGTAACTCGTTTCCTGAGCCTTCGCAGCCCAACTGGCTCACTTGTACTACCTCTGTAACTTTCTAAATATACTTTCTCTTATAATTTGGGGGGGGGAGAAATATTCCTTTTTTATATTGCATGAATTCTTATTTATCTGAACAAATAGAGAAGGTGCTATTTCCAAAACTGGTTCCTCATCCTCAAAACAAAACGAATTTTTATTATTTTGGCTTTTATTGCTCTTTCTAAAATTAAGAGTAATCAAGAGTAGAAAAGCAAAGTATCTCTTGAGTGTCCTAAGTTTGAGATTCTGACATGTATGGCATAAGATTAATTATACTAAATTGGAATAACTCAGACTAACAGCTTCAGAAAACTTGGCTTATTTATTTTAAATGACTTAATTTAGCTCAATTTTATATAAAGATACAATCTGGGAAACTCAAACTATTTGAATTATAAACTTAGTTTATAAATAGTGATTATACTTACATTTGACTTAGAATATTATACTCTTTATAAAGTAAAAAAAAAAATGTAGTCTAGATCTTAAGAAACATTTATACATTGGTAAAATCCTTAGGTTGAAAAGAAACAATTTAACACAGTACATTAATTTACCAAACAGCACTTTACAGGTAAAATAAAGGATTAATACCTACCTAGTATGCAGAATACATCAGCAAGAATGGAAGGCAAATCCTCACGAAATTCCTAATTTTAAAAATAGAATTATTCATAGTAAATACTACAATAACACACCAGCAAGTATTATGGCTTCAGGCTAACACTCTTCAGCAATAAAACTGAAAAACTGACAAAACCTCAACACCACTATGTTGACAAAAATATTCAAGTTTCATAATATAGAGAAATAAAAAATGGGAGACAATTATGGGAAAACATGGTTAAATGTCTACCATGAAATACCTGATTTTAAAAAAACAACAACACAGAAACCTAAATAAGCACCTCAGGAAATATTAAAGAGCACAAACAAGTAACATTTTTCCAATGAAGTTTCATGTTAGAAACCACTGGAATCTGGGGTACCTCACACCTACACCTAAAGCAAGACTGTTAAAATGGTACATTTTTAAACCAAAACTTTAAATGCTGTGCTTGTGCCTAAGCAACATTGATATATGCAAAAATCATAGTGGTAACAGAAATCTAAAAAATACAAAAACAATTACAAGCTATTGTTCAATAACTCAAGATTCTCTGAAAATGAAAATAATTACCATAAATGCATCTTTATTTTCCTTATGCACTGATGCCTGTAGCATTTGGAGAAACTGACCCAAAATTCTCCACTCATTTCTGCATGAAAACTTCAGCACTTCCCGCTCCCATGCCCAATTTTAGAGCCATTTTCCATTAATACGGATCACAGTTCAACTATTGCAATTAGTTTGCTGGCATGATAGCAACCCTAAAATTAACCTATTTTCAGAGACTAAAGGAAAGAAATTTCATTCTAAAGAACAAACTGACATCTGTAAGAGATTTGCAAGATATGTTTCTGTGGCTAAGATATGGGATAGTGAGACTGAGACTATGAGGAAGACATGACAAAGATAATCCAGCTGCAGAAGTATCTATCCTATATAATAAAAGCCTAGGTGGCAAGGCGTTTAGGGGGCAATCAGGGTAGCAGGCAGGCAAGGAGTTAGGAGCCAGCAGTCCCGGATTGTGTGAGGGTTTGCACGATGCCCTCGTGCAACACCTTCACATGATGTCATCACAAGATGTCCACCACAAGATGCCCACTACAACATGGATGGCAGGGGAGGGCAGTTGTGGGCGAGATCAGGCCAGCAGGGTAGGGCAGTTGGGGGTGACCAGACCATCAGAGGAGGGCAGTTGGGGGCAACCAGGCTGGCAGGGGGGAGGGCAGTTGGGGGCGATCAGGCTGGCAGGGGAGGGCAGTTGGGGGCAAAATCAGGCCAGCAGGGGGGCGTTTAGGGGGCAATCAGGGTAGCAGGCAGGCAAGGAGTTAGGAGCCAGCAGTCCCGGATTGTGTGAGGGATGCCCGACTGCCAGCAGTTGCACATCCCCCAAGGCATCCCAGGTTGGAGAGGGTGCAGGCCGGGCTGAGGGACAACCCCCCTCCCATGCACAAATTTCGTGCACTGGACTTCTAGTATATATATACAGAAGGAATATGGAAAATTAGGCCAGGACGCCATAATGGGTCACGACCGGACAGGAGGAAGTTGTGCGCACAGGTGAGGCCTGGAGCAGAAACGGGGGGCCAGTGAGCCACTGTACCTTGGCTCGGGTCGGCCCCCCAGAGCCGGAGCGGACACAGACACTGACAGGGGGGGCCAGTCAACAACCTCCGTGGCCGAGTGCAGTCCTGGAAAGGAGACGGTGGGCCTGCCTCTCGCGGAAGCAGCACGGCTCCCTCCCGCCTCCCGGGGAATCTGCACCGGTCCCTCCCGACTCCCATGGACGCCAGCAGCTCACTTCCGCCTCCTGCAGAAGCCGCACAGCTCCCGTGGAAGCAGCGCAGCTCCCGTGGAAGCAGCGCAGCTCCCGGTGGTGCACTGTGCTTCCCGCTGGCTCCAGCAGAAGCAGCGGACAGCCTACTGCGTGCGATATCGCGTGATGGGCTACTTGTATATATATAAAATCACTAAAGACTCAAAGGAAAGGGGAAGGTAAGAACCAAACACGCATTAAATTCTCCTGGACTATTCATTTTCAATAAAGTATTAGGCTCAGTTTCCAAAACCACACTAAACCCTACACTGATGCCCAATTTACAGAATGAAATAAACTTAATTGTAGACCAGACTTTAGTCTCAACTTTCTTAAGGGCTATGAACTTTGGCTATGTCTACTTAAATGAAAGTACTCGAGCTGAAAACCAGAAATACAGAGCAAGACAAGAGTTTTCAAAGATGTTAAGAAACAGACTATTCCAACTTGACTTAGGGTGGTAAACAAACTATACAGTGTTATAGAGTTGTGCATCTGAAACCTGTATAATTTTATTAACCAGTGTCACCCCAATAAATTCCAAAAAAAGAGAGCGAGAGAAAGAAATAGACTACTCCAACATAGCTAATGATGCTATTATCAGATAGACAGTTCAGGGATAAAAGAGAAACTCATTAAAGCCCTACTGCTCAAATACATATCAATATGACAGGGGGAGATCACAACAGCTAAACACAGAAGTTTTTTAAGACTATCCCCGGGAAGAACCAAGATAGCGGCATAGGTAAATGCCACCTCCCACAACCACATCAAAATTACATTTACAATACTGAACAACCATCATTCAGAACTGCCTGAAAACTGGCTGAATGGAAGTCCTACAACTAGAGAAGAAGAAAGCACATTGAGACTGGTAGGAGGGGCAGAGGCATGGAACGGGCTGGGCTGGCACCCAGGTGTGCCGTTTTTTTAAATCTGGAGATTGTCTCGGCAGAGGCTGCCTACGAGGAGCAAAGGGGCCCAGCCCCACACCAGACCCTCAGCCCAGGGTTCTAGAGCTGGGAAGAAAAGTCCCCCTAACTACAGGCAGTAAAAAGCAGTAGGGATGATAGCTAAGTGATACTGAGGCTGCTGTAGACCTAACTGTTCCTTTTAAAGGGCCAGCACACAAACTTACTCGGCCTCGATACCTCCAAGCTCCAGCACTGGGTGGCTTTTGGGGACCCAGACACATATCTGGAGGAACTGGATTGTCTGACATCGGGGCAGGAAGTCGGGGTGGCTTTCTCCCAGACAAGAGTGCTAGCAGGGATCATTGTTCTTGTGCTGAAATCTCCCCTATCATATAGCTGACTGACACAGGCTATATCTGACTCTTCATCAGCCTGGCTAACACTGTTTGCTCCACCCTGGTGATTCCTTGAGATCCTGCCCTATCCAATTTGCAGTCCCACCCAAGCTCTTTGCAGCAGCTTTCCCATATGAATGGCCTTTCCTGGCTCAGACTTCAGACTTCGCTAAAATCTCTCAAACTGCAGCTGGTGTCAGCGTGCTCCATACCTATCAATAAAAAGCACAAGACCCAGCAATAGCACCAGCCTGCCTTGCTTCACAGCTGGGCCTCATCTGGGCACTTTCAAGCATAATACAAATAGCAGCCATCTGCAGATCTCTCTGTAGCTCCTGCCAGGTAGCCACAGGCAGTGGCTGACTTTGCACCTCCCTGGAGGCACCAGAGCCAGTGCACCCAGTGAACAGTTTCAGATCATAATAGATTACAAATCCACACATCCACAAGAGACACACTCAAGGGGCAGATTCAGTGAGCACCAAAGCCCCACAAGGTGTTTCCTACATAGCAGCTCTCCCACTGTAGTCACAGCTGGTCCTCACAGCCAATTGGCCTAGAGATCAATTCCTCCCAGTGACACCAACAGCAATAAAGGCTCAACTACAAGACTGTGTACACAGGGGTACACCTAGAATGCCCAGCCCAGGTGACTGGGGAGGCTGAGCCACTGGGCCTTACAGGACACCTAATACACAAGGCCACTCCATCAATTCCAGGAGACATAACAACTCTACCTATACACAGAAACAAACAGGGAAGCAGCCAAAATGCAGAGATAAAAAACATGTCACAAATGAAAGAAATGGAAGCAAGCAAACTACTAGATACAGAGTTCAAAACCATGGTTATAAGGTTACTCAAAGATTTTCATGAGACCTTAAGGGACTTAGTGAGAATTTCAAGGATCCTAGTGAGAATATCAAAGACATGAAAAAGGAACAGTCAGAAATTAAGCACACACTAACTGAAATAAAGAATAATTTACAGCCCTGGCTGGTTTGGCTAAGTGGATAAAGCGTCAGCCTACAGACTGAAGGGTCCTGGGTTCAATTCCAGTCAAAAGCACATGCCCAGGTTGCAGGCTCAATGCCCAGTGGAGGGTGTGCGGGAGACAGCTGATCAGTGATTCTGTCTCATCATTGATGTTTCTATCGCCTCTCCCTCTCCTTTTCTCTCTGAAATCAACAAAAATACATTTAAAAATATAATTTCAGGGTATCAACAGTAGATGATTCCAAGAATCAAATCAATTTGGAATATGAGGAAGTAAAAAACACCCAGTTAGAATAGCAAAAGGAAAAAAGAATCCAAAAATATGAAGATAGTATAAGGAGCCTCTGGGACTTCAAGCTTACCAACATTCACATTATGGAGGTGGCAGAAGGAGAAGAGAGAGAGCAAAATATTGAAAAGCTTCATAAACAAGAAAAAGCTAGAGGAGTTCATCACCACCAAACCAGTATTATATGAAATGCTGAAGGGTATTCTTTCAGAAGTGGAAGAAGAAGAAGAAAAAGATAAAAAAATATGAACAATAAAATAGCAATAAATACATATCTATTAACAACTGAATTTAAAAATCAAAATAAAAGAACAAGAAATATAATGAACAAAATAAACTGGTGAATAAAATAAAATCAGAAGCATGGAAACATGGAACACACTGACAAATCTCAGAGGAAAGTGAAGAGGGAGGTGGGAAGAGATTAACCAAAGATCTTACCTATGGACACAGAAAATAGGGTGGTGAAGGACTGGAGAGGGACAGGGCAGGAAACGGGAGGAGGGGTGGCAATAGGGGTGGGGGGAAGGGAATATCTGTAATACTCTCAACAATAAAGACTTAAAAAGCTTAAAAAAAAACTATCCCCAGAAAAGCACAAAAAAAAATCATACAAAGCAGATTACCTATCCTAACAGAAAGAGACTAGAAGCTTAAGGCAGCACAAGGGAAATTTGCACTAATATCAAAAAGCTCCAGGTCCTATCTCAATAATGCTTATTATTAAAGGTGTTCTCAACTGGACAGAGGATTTTACTTAAATAAGTTTAAAATCCAGCCTAGCAGAATAATACACCACTTGTAAAAATTCAAATTTAACTACTGGTTTACAATAAACACCCTAACACCCTTACAATTTCAGAGCTCATCTTTCAATTCAAATACCAAACCACCATGAAAAGCATATAGACTGAATCTAACTTAAATCCTATCCTATATAATAAAAGCCTAATATGCTAAGTGTCTGACTGTTCATTTGAACATTTGACCAGTTGCTATGATACAAACTGACCACCAGGGGACAGAAGCTCCAACCAGTAGGTTAGCTTGCTGCTGGGGTCTGGCCAATTGGGACTGGGCGAAATGGGCCAGACACACCCTGGAGTCCTCCTGTGGTCCCTCCCCGACCCTGATGGCGCACCAGTGGAGTCCTCAGCCTGGCCTGCACCCTCTCGCAATCCAGAACCCCTTGCGGGATGTCAGAGAGCTGGTTTTGGCCCGATCCCTGCAGGCCAGGCCAAGGGACCCCACTGGTGCACGGTCCTCTAGTTCTCTAATAAACAGCCTGACCAGTGTGGCTCAGTGGTTAAGTGTCAACCTATGAACCAGGAGGTCATGGTCTGATTCCCAATCAGGGCATATGTCCAGGTTGCAGGCTTCATCCCCAATGTGGGGTGTGTGGGAGGCAGCCAATCAATGATTCTCTCTCATCACTGATGTTTCTATCTCTCCCACCCCCTTTCTCTATGAAATCAATATTTTTTTTTAATTCTCTAATAAGTGAAACAGATGCCCAGGGTGGCTCAGTGGTTGAGCATAGACCAGCCGTGGAGGAGGTCATGGCTCAATTCCTGGTCAGGGTACATGCCTGGATTGTAGGCTCAGTCCCCAGTGGGGGACGTGCAGGTAGCAGTCAATCAATGATTCCCTCTCATCACTGATGTTTCTATCTCTCCCTCCCTCTCTGAAATCAATTAAAAAAAATTTTAATGATTTTTCAACACTAGATCCCCCAGCTCCTATTGGCAGTTGAGTTTGCAAACCTTGATCTAAGGTGCCTCTATTAGCCAAGATTGTTTCCATTGCTACAGAGTGCACATGCTTGGGTTGAGGGCTCAATCCCTAGTAGGGAGTGTGCAGCAGGCAGCTGATCAATGATTCTCTCTCAGTATTGATGTTTCTATCTCTCTCACCCTCTCCCTTCCTCTCTCTGAAATCAATAAAAACATATTTTTAAAAAAGAATAAAACAGAATAATCACATAAAGTTTAGGAAAAAATCTAGTTAACGTATTCTAAAACCAGTAAACACATGAAAATTGGCATCAAGTGAACATTAGAGCTATGCAGCCTCAATTTAAAATAATTAAATTCTCAATTTAAAAATATAATTTCTAAACATAACCACAAACAAAAGAAAATGCTTTGATATGCTATATTGGGAGAAAAAGATTCCTGGTCAAATTATTTTTTATAGTACCCTTTTAAATTAACTATATCTTGATTTCATTACAATGCCGGGGTTTTGTTTTGTGTGTGTGTGTGTGTTTTTGCCCTCCCATCTTACATAACATTCTTTTGCTTTACTCACAACCAGACAAAAAGACTAAAATATCTTTATTTGTCTAGCAACAATGACTTACCAACATTACCTTAAAGCATTTCATTTTTGAAATGCAAATTATACACTTCAAAGATGTTTGTATCAAATGCAAAAGAAATAGGCAACAATTATTACATTAAAAAGCATATACATACTTACACTAATGTCATTAAAAACATTAGATGCCTGTTCATGCTTTAGGTTCCCTTTAATGACATGGTATGATAATTCATAGAGAACTTGCTGGAAATCTGTTGACCATAAAAGAAAGAATGTAAGTACACAGAATGTAAGAAAAGCAGAATCTCTGGAGAAGACCTATATATTTCCTACTTTTCAGATTTATCATAAACATCAACAATAAGAAAAAGTATACATCTAATGCTTTAGCATATTTTTTCCTTTCATTTTCACAAAAACACAATACTAAAAGAGTAGGAAAAAGTTAATGTTGGCTCCACTACTATAACATAATTACTGCTTGATAATTTCCTTCTAATATGTCTATATATTTTACATATTTGCATTTACAGTGCTCATCATTTCGTATTCTAATATCCCCCCACTTTTAAAAGCATTTTCTCAAAATCCAAAGCCTCTAAAATTATTTTCATTTTCAGTGACTTCACAGAATGCCAACAAGTGTATATAAACTAAATTAACCATTCCTCTCAGAAGCAAATTTCACAGATTTTTTAAAAACACTGGGTATATCTGCAACTAATGGCGAATTTTGTAATCAAAGAAAACACGATAATTTCAAAAGAAACATCAAAAGTGCTTTATTCAAAGTAATGTCCATTACTAGCTACACATTTCCCCCATCTTTCAGGTAATTTGTGAATATCATCCCAATAGAACTTTTCCTGTTTTGAGGCAAACCATTCAGAGACCCAATTTTCCACTTCTTCCTACGTTTTGAAGGGCTGCTCAGAAAGTGCATGTGCCATTGATCAGAACCGGTGATAATCTGAAGGAGCAAGGCCTGATGAATACAGGGGGTGGGTTAATCCTTCCCAGAAAGACCTTTCAACGTGTCTTTAACTGGTTTTGAAGTGTGTGATGGTGCATCATCATGAAGCAAAATTACTTTGCCGTGTCTTCCGGCCCATTCTGGTCGTTTCATGATCAAAGAGTGGTTCAAATTGATTATTTGCTGTCAGTAGCAATCAGTATTAATGGTTTCACCTGGTTTTAGAAGCTCATAATACACCACACCTTCCTGATCCCACCAAACGCAGAGCATTGTCTTCTTTCCGAAGCAATTAGGCCTTGTGTTGAGGTTGATGGTTAACCTGGATCAACCCATGATTTTGTGCATTTGGGATTCTCAAAATAAATCCACTTTTCATCGCCAGTCACAATTCCATGCAAAAAAGACTTTCGTGCTGTTGAAGCAACAGCTTACTGATGACTTTTCGGTTTTCCACTTGTCTTTCGTTCAGTTGATGTGGCATCCATTTTCCTTCCTTTAAAATCTTTCCCATTGCTTGTAAACAATTGGAAATTGTTTGCTGAGAAAAGTTTAATCTTTCTGAAAGTTGATTTTTAGTTTGACACACATCTTCAACCAATAATGCTTGTAATTGTTGGTCTTCAAACTTTTTTGGTTGACCTGGACGTTCTTTGTCTTTCACATAGAAATCATCACTTTTAAAGCATTTAAACCAGCATTCACAAGTATCTTGAGATGAAGCATGGTCACCATAAGCTTCCC